ATCCAGAGAAGATATAGGCGGTCATTGACATGAAGTCTCCCCGCACTGTCAAAGAAGTTCAAAAATTAACCGATTGTCTGGCGGCATTAGGTAGATTCCTCAACCGGTCAGGTGAAAAGTGCCTCTAATTTTTCCAAGCTATCAAAAAGAAGACTATGTTTGAATTGGTGGATGATGTTGAGGCGGCCTTTCAGAAATTGAAAGAACACTTGCACTCTTTGCTAAGGCTTGTTAGCCCTCTACCAAAGAAGGTGCTTTACATGTACTTAGCCGTCCCAAACCATGCTCCCAATGTTGTTCTCCTTGCTAAGAGAGACAGCACCCAGATCCCGGTCTATTTCATCAGCCATGTTATTTAAAATGCTGAACTATAGTACCCGACCGTCGAAAAGTTTGGCCTTGCTCTTTTCATGGCAGTCAAGAAGTTAAAACCTCACTTCCTGGCACATCCGATTGTGGTCTACACAGACCAACCCCTCAAACGGCCAACGACAATTATGGAGTCATCCGAACGAATGATCAAATTGGCTATTGAAATTCAAAGCCATGAAATCTCTTTCGAACCAAGGAAGGCAGTGAAGGGTCAGACGTTTGCCGACTTTATTGTCAAAATGACAAAGTCGGCTGAGCCGGAGAATCTTGACCAGGTTTGGAAAGTGTACGTAGACGGGAGCTCTACTATGAACGGTTGTGGTACAAGCGTTATATATCGGTCTCCTGAAGGGGACAAGTACGAATATGCACTACGGTTCAAGTTCAAGGCCTCAAATAATGAGGCGAAATATCAAGCCCCATTAGCCGGCATCCATGTTGGGTTTCGTAAAGTCTGACTCTACGCGGAAGGAAAACCCACCCAAGACCCGCACACTAATTAAAGCGACTAAGCATGCAATCACTAATTAAACAACAATTAAGAGAATAAAGAAAACACATTCTTACCCTTGGCACGTGCTTTCGCTCGAATCCCGAGCTCTTACTTGAACCCCGCAAATGCGAAGGTCTCCGACGGCTCATACCCACGAACCCGACCCGAACGATCCAAGTCCCGAAGGTCAGTCGGGACCCAACCCATAAAAACTAGAGTTTTACGAACTTAAGGTTTTCTCACTTTTCTAAGGAGATGCCTTTTTAGTTCCACTCAAGTGTTCTTCCCAAATCCCAAAAGCTTGGTATTAATAGGGAAATGAACCTTGAATTCCCATTCTCAATCAATGTGGGAGATTCGAATTTTCCCATTTTATTTAATTAAAACAAAAATGAAATTGCAATGCAATCAATGAGTTATAAGTGGCTAGTGTGCCTCAGTCGTATGCAACCAAAAATATCACAACTAAGCTAACTGCAAATAAACGTAGTTAGGGGAGTCGAGTTCGAATCCACAGGGAAAAAGGGACTAATAACTGCAAACCTAAGTGGAATTACTCTAGGAACGTAGTAATCTAAGTAACAAGGGGGTTTTGACAAGCAATGGTGACAATTAAACTAAATCAGAACAATGAACGTAAATAGTATGCAATCAATGAGAATAACGGTCTTGGTTATGCGAAATCCACAATTGAACATACAAATTGATCATAGAAGCTTCTTCAATCAAACACTATTGAACACCTTGTTGTAGAATTCTAAATTCTAAATTCTCATAAGCTAGTTAGAAATAGCAAAGCGCTCCTTTCTAACCCTTTCTAATGTATAATTTAAGACAAGCGCTCTAAATCATCCACAAGAAGAACATAAACGGAGAAATCAGCAAGGATTGAATAAATTAACACAAGCGGTCTAATTTCTTCAATAATATTATTCCCTCTTTAAGTTATCAATCAAAAGCATACATTCATAACCCAAAGTTGCTACTTTGGAAAGATTAATTAGATGCAAGCGAATCTAACAATTCTAACCTAGCAATTGATTAAAGCAAATCATGAAATAATTCAAAGGAATAATAAACATTCAATAGATAATAATAAAGAGAAGAGAAATCTCACAATTCGTAGCCAAAAGCTTCAATCTTTAACCAAGAATCCGGAAGATTAAGCTTCCATGGATTCTAATTCCAAAACAAAGAATTCTGAAAATTCCAAGAAAACCCTAGAAAGCTTTTTTTTTCTCAAAACTTAATTCTCCTTTTCTAACTTAAAACTTAATTAAAACTAAGCTATTTATATGTTTCTATATTTTAATAACATAACACAATAATAATAATAAAATAATATCCAAAACACGAGCCAAAACAAAGCCAAATTGCTGAAAATTAACCAAAACAGCCCGAATTTCTGCCAGAGCCGCTGCCAGCTGCTCTGGCAGCCCCTCACTCTGGTATACCCGCTGCCAGCGGCTCTGGCCAGCTGCCAGCGGCCCTGGCAGCGGTTCCTGCTGTTTTTGCCTTATTTCCTTGCTTCTTCTTCTTGCTTTGCTTCACCTTTTCCTCAAGATTTCTTCCTTGCTCTTCCATGCTCCATCACAACTCTCAAATCACGAGCCAAGGTCCATCCTTCTTACATAACTCTTCATTGGTTCCCGAGCTCACTCACTCACTTATACTCATAAATCCCGCCTTTTGCACATAAGTGAGATCACAGCCCAAAACTCACAAAAGCTAACAAAAGTACATATAAAGCATCAAAACACACCCTAAAATGCTTCTCTCAACCCATGATAAGAAGGCTTATCAAATTCCCCCATGCTTGAACCTTTACTCGCCCTCGAGTAAACTTAGAGAATAAAACACATCCTCCTCACTAAGGTTCAAAACAGAAGATGGTGGAATCAAACTAGCTCTACGCACTCAAACTCAACAAAACATCCTAGTACTTATCAACCAATTACAATCACACTCCCCCATACTTCACACTTTGAATCTCCCTTTTTTCTTATTTATCAATTCATCCCCAAAATCAACTTGGAACGATAAACGCATAGCCATGAGTATGAATATTCTCAACCGCCTAAAGAAATAAAAATTTTGATAAAATTGGGCAAACAAAAACTCAACTTAACCAAAAATCTCATAAAAACACTTCCACATTCAAGAGTGAAAACAAACAACTCATGCTCTCAAATTCCTAAGATGATCAACAAATTCCCCCAAAATCTCAACTATCTCCCAAAATCACCAAGATGAAACCTACCCCGACACCTCCTTATATCTCCTCCCCTTATGACACCGACTCCGGCAAATAGATGCGAAATTTCCTTGAAAAATCAAATTCATGAACATTTCTCTCTTTTTTCTCTCATTTTGCCTAGGAGCCCTTTCGGGTTTTCATCCTAGCCTCTCATCTTTTTCCAAATCTCACTACCTCACCCGCTCATTAGCCACTTTTTTGCTTAGGTCGCCCTTTCGGGTTTTCAACCTAACCGGGCCCCCATTTTTGCCTAAGCCGCCTTTTCAGGTTTTCGACTTAGAGGGCTTCTTTTTCTTTTTCTTTTCTCTTTTTTTTTCAATTTTTCTTCTTTGTTTTTTTTTTCTTTTTTTTCATTGAAACATAATTGAAATAGCTATACAAAACCATTAAATTAGGATAACTATACAAATTTCAAAAATATGCAAGAATTGCTTCCCCCCCCCCCCTACTTGAATGAGACATTGTCCTCAATGCAAGAACAACAACAATAAAAACAAAAGTAAGGGAAAGGGAAGAAATAAGTACCACCTTAATGGGAAGGATTCCCGAAGTTGGAAGATTCGGCATTATCAAGGATTTCAAAACTCTCGAGAAAAAAAATGAACTATGGGGACCCCAAGTGTTGCCCATGGGAAGATTATTCCAACCAAACGCATTTCTAATTACCGCATAAGGCATGACATAGTTCTTATTGTTAAAATTGAAAGAAATTCTTGACATCCCTTAGTCAAAGTGGAAAGGAATTCATCTATACCTCACATAAGTAGGTGCGCTCGTGCTCCATCACTTCCTCCAAACCAACCACTTGCAATGCCTCCAAATCGACGACTTTTGTGCATTGCACCATTCTTTTGGGCTGTTGAAGTTGAACCCATGTAGTCTTTTCTTTCGTAGTTAGACGAATGCCCATGAAGTCATTTGCTTGGGGAAAAGAGGGTGATACACCCTCCCTTGAAGTATCCCCTTGTTGTCTACCCCCTTGCAACCCTTGTAGGTGAAGAGGTTGCCTTCACTTGTTATGTCTTCCCATTGCACAAGAACGAATTGCACAAATCTCACCTCCTCTTTCAAAATACAATGAGCAACCCACCAAACCTCCAAACACCAAGGTTCACACAATTCCTCAAATTTCAAGTTTAGAATTTAGAAATTGAAACAATGTTAAGGTTTAATTGGACTTGAAATTGAGGGAAAAGAGGTTAGACGAGGGGTTTTTAAATTTCTGAATTTTGGATTGAAAATGGGGCAAATGGGTTGTTTTGGATAAAGAATACTTGCTAAGGGATAGAGGGAAGTGATTAATTGGGGTTTTGGATAAAGACTAGAATGAATTGGATTGTAGGATTGAAGAAAAAGGGGTTTAAAAGGGCAAAAATTCAGGTATGCAGGGAATGCCGCTGGTAGCGGCTTGGGGCCCGCTGCCAGCGGCTTAAGAAGGAATTTAGGGTGAATGTTGCTGGAAGACCCGCTGGCAGCGGCTGCTGCAAAAAAAAAAAAAATTTTTTTTCTTTTTTTTTCCTGAAGGACACCCGCTAGCAGCGGCACCAGACCCGCTGCCAGCGGCTGGGGCAGAACTTTGGGATTTTTTGGCTGCTTGGAGAGCCGCTGGTAGCGGCTACAGAGCAGCTGCCAGCCCGCTACCAGCGGCTCCTGCAGGGGCTGCCTCCCAAAGCCTGTTTTTACCTGTTTTGCTCTGTTTTTGCTCACAATACGTACTCCCAAAGCATCCTCCTACATAAATCCACCAAAAGCACTTGGTACATCAAAACAAAAACAATAAAAACTAAAATAAATGAAAACGGGGAAGAGTTTTCGGGTTGCCTCCCGATTAGCGCCTTTGTTTTACGTCGTTGGCTCGACACAACTCATGAAACTTCGTTAATCAATTGATGGCTCGTAGAGATCGATGTTCTCCAAATTCTCAACCTTGAACCCTTCGTAGTATGGTTTGAGCCTTTTTCCATTCACTTTGAACATGTTGTTAGTCTCTAAACTCCGAATTTCTACCGCTCCATGCGGATAGACCTTGTCAACTTGAATTGGACCCTTCCAGCGGGAGCTCATCTTGTCATGCCACACCTTATTCTTTTCTTTGTGGTATACCTGGGATAATTTCTTGCCCGGAAATGATGACGGGGTGGGTGTTGCCCCTAGTGGTATAGGTGGAAGCTTGGACTGTTCATTCAATTCCGCCACCTTCACCTGCACATTAGTAGGTATAGAAGAATCCAAGCAATCACCAGACACAACATTAGTAATAGGTGTGAGGAGCTCATCCCCATGATCAATGTTAGAAACATCATGCAATATTGGATCGACAACATTTATAGAATATAAAGAATGAGTATCAACAGGATACTTTATGGTATCATAAATGTTATACACAATTGCTTTCCCATCAACCTCCATAGTCAAAGAACCGGTAGACACATCGATTTTTGTCTTAGCAGTCTTTAAGAAAGGTCTTCCTAACAGGATAGGGGCTGCTTGTTTGTCATGTTCCATGTCAAGGACGTAAAAGTCAGCAGGAAAGATCAATCCATCAACCTTAACAAGTACATCTTCTACTACCCCCTTAGGATATACATTGGACCTATCAGCTAACTGAATTACTACCCCAGTTTCATGCAAAGGCCCAAGTTCTAAAGATTTAAACAGGGAGTAGGGAATGACATTGATTGATGCACCTAGGTCCAACATGGCTCGGTGTAATGTGGTGTCTCCTATTGTAACAGGAATAGTAAACATACCAGGATCACCACATTTTTCTGGGAGTTTCTTTTGGAAAACTGCAGAAACATGAGCACTCACCTTCACTTTTTCTTTTCCTCCCAACCTGTGCTTTCTCTTGATCGTACACAGTTCCTTCATAAACTTAGCAAAACGAGGAACACTTTTAATCACATTCAAGAGGGGCATATTTACCTCACATTTGCTGAAAGTCTCATAAATATCCTTGTCTTTCTCATACCTTCGAGTATCTTGCAAGGCTTCTGGGAAAGGTGGCACAGGCTCATAAGAGGTAAAGGTTGGCGGATTCGCCTTAGTTTCTTGTTCTACTTCCTCCTCCTCAACTCCAATCAAGTATTTAGCCTTCTTAGGTGCAACTACAGTTTCTTGCAACTTTTTGCCACTTCTCAATGTTATTGCATTAACTTGTTGCTTAGGGTTCAGCTCCGTTTGGGATGGAAGCTTTCCAGAGTCCTTAGCTTCAAGTCGGCTTACTGCACTTGAGATTTGACTGACTTGATTCTCCAGGTTTTGAATACTTGATCTGGTTTCTTGTTGAAACTGCATCATATTCTGCTGCATGGTAGAAACATTAGAAGTTAGTGATCTAATCATTTCTTCAGTTGACATATTACCTGAATTAGAGCTTTGGCCTTGAGGGGTTAGGAACGGTGCCCTATATTGCTGAAACTATTGTTGACCTTGAGCATGCTGATGTTGTTGGTTTCCTTGGGAATTCCCATATCTCAAATTTGGATGATCTCTCCATCCTGGGTTGTAGGTATTTGAAAAGGGATCATATCTTCTCTGCGGACCTTGCCCTTGAAAACCTAAGGCGTTGGCCTGCTCATTCTGCTCCTCTTGTAATTGAGGACATGCATCAGTGGGATGTCCCATGGAGGTGCATAAACCACAAGCATTCAGTTGCTGTGGATTCCTTGAGTTCACCATGAACTCACGCATCATAGAAGTCAAATCAGCTACTTGACTCTCTAACTCAGTTGTATTCGAATTTGCTAAATTCACCCGGCGCGTGGGAGTTCTCTGACTGAATTGCCTAGAATTTTCTGCTAGCTCTGCAATCAACCTAGTTGCATCTCCTGGAGTCTTATTCACTAGCCCTCCACCACTTGCTGCATTCACCATCCTCAAGTCATCATCCGTTAGACCTCCATAGAAGTATAGGATGAGGTCTTGATCGGAATACCCATGGTAAGGACAACTAGAACACAATCTCTTAAATCTCTCCCAATACTCATACAAGGATTCATCTTCCTTCTGATCCACATTGCTGATAGCTTTCTTAAGGCTTGCAGAAATAGTGGCTGGGTAGTACTTCTCAAGGAAACACTTCTTTAAATCTGCCCAAGTTGTTATGCTACCTGGGGGAAGATAGTAAAACCAATCCTTTGCTGCATCTTTGAGAGAAAAAGGAAATGCTCTCAACTGAATTTGTTCATCAGTCATCCCAATCGGTTTCATGCTAGTGCAAACCACATGAAATTCTGCCAGATGTTTATTCGGATCTTCGCCTTTCATGCCATGGAATGCCGGCAATAGATGAATTAGACCGGATTTGATCTCAACATTAGTACCTTCCTCCAATTGCTGATATGCAATGCACAACGGCTGTTGGTTCAAGTTAGGGGCTGTAAGTTCTCTTAGAGTTCGATTGTCAGCCATCTCCTCTTCTTCTTGAATATTGAAGGAGTACGTTGATTCACTGGGGGTTGTTCTTGCCTCTTTTCGCAACCTGGAAATATTCCTTTCAATTTCTGGATCAAACGGCAAAACTTCTTTATTAGCAGAACGGGTACTTATCATACCCTAGCGAACAAACAAAGAAAGATAGCTAAGAACAGTCCTAAAATAAATTCTACTAAGATAAACAATTAAAAAGTAACGCCTTAGTTCCCGGCAACGGCGCCAAAATTTGGTGTGCCTCAGTCGTATGCAACCAAAAATATCACAACTAAGCTAACTGCAAATAAATGTAGTTAGGGGAGTCGAGTTCGAATCCACAGGGAAAAAGGGACTAATAACTGCAAACCTAAGTGGAATTACTCTAGGAACGTAGTAATCTAAGTAACAAGGGGGTTTTGACAAGCAATGGTGACAATTAAACTAAATCAAAACAATGAACGTAAATAGTATGCAATCAATGAGAATAACGGTCTTGGTTATGCGAAATCCACAATTGAACATACAAATTGATCATAGAAGCTTCTTCAATCAAACACTATTGAACACCTTGTTGTAGAATTCTAAATTCTAAATTCTCATAAGCTAGTTAGAAATAGCAAAGCGCTCCTTTCTAACCCTTTCTAATGTATAATTTAAGACAAGCGCTCTAAATCATCCACAAGAAGAACATAAACGGAGAAATCAGCAAGGATTGAATAAATTAACACAAGCGGTCTAATTTCTTCAATAATATTATTCCCTCTTTAAGTTATCAATCAAAAGCATACATTCATAACCCAAAGTTGCTACTTTGGAAAGATTAATTAGATGCAAGCGAATCTAACAATTCTAACCTAGCAATTGATTAAAGCAAATCATGAAATAATTCAAAGGAATAATAAACATTCAATAGATAATAATAAAGAGAAGAGAAATCTCACAATTCGTAGCCAAAAGCTTCAATCTTTAACCAAGAATCCGGAAGATTAAGCTTCCATGGATTCTAATTCCAAAACAAAGAATTCTGAAAATTCCAAGAAAACCCTAGAAAGCTTTTTTTTTCTCAAAACTTAATTCTCCTTTTCTAAATTAAAACTTAATTAAAACTAAGCTATTTATATGTTTCTATATTTTAATAACATAACACAATAATAATAATAAAATAATATCCAAAACACGAGCCAAAACAAAGCCAAATTGCTGAAAATTAACCAAAACAGCCCGAATTTCTGCCAGAGCCGCTGCCAGCTGCTCTGGACCCGCTGGCAGCTGCTCTGGCAGCCCCTCACTCTGGTATACCCGCTGCCAGCGGCTCTGGCCAGCTGCCAGCGGCCCTGGCAGCGGTTCCTGCTGTTTTTGCCTTCTTTCCTTGCTTCTTCTTCTTGCTTTGCTTCACCTTTTCCTCAAGCTTTCTTCCTTTCTCTTCCATGCTCCATCACAACTCTCAAATCACGAGCCAAGGTCCATCCTTCTTACATAACTCTTCATTGGTTCCCGAGCTCACTTTCTCACTTATACTCATAAATCCCGCCTTTTGCACATAAGTGAGATCACAGCCCAAAACTCACAAAAGCTAACAAAAGTACATATAAAGTATCAAAACACACCCTAAAATGCTTCTCTCAACCCATGATAAGAAGGCTTATCAGTGGCACAAGGAGGAACAGAGATTAGGTGAGGACCATTTCCAAGGGGGTGACCATAGCCTTGGTGCCCAAGGCAATGCCCACAACCCTTGGTCCCCACTTAGCAAACCGGCATCCCTCCATGTGGTTGGTTGGTAGCCTGCCTTGGCTTCCAAGGCTGCCAGCTAGCTCCTAGCACCAAGGCTGGGAAGCCAGCCAGCACATGAAAGGAATGGTGTCCTTCCAACAAGTGTATTCTTCCGATAGAGGGTTCAGAATTATTACAGAGTTAATTCTTTAGTAAGATCAAGTAATCGGAATGCCTAGGTGGAGGCCGCTTCCAATCAGTAATATCAAGGTACAATTGATATTACAACTTAATCTTAACTGAACCCTTCGGGTCGAACCCAATCGAATCACCGATCCGAGACGACGAATTAATCCGAAAGGATTTATTGAGTCGACGGAGTTTTACGAATACAGACGTCGGATATCGAGCCTAGGACGTCGAGACCGAGCGTTGCAAAATCAGAAAGCGACAAGTATGAACATAGCCCTAGCACCACACTGGCCTAGCCATGTGGGTTGCTAGGCTAGGCTGGGCCTAGCACCATGCCTAGGCGCACCATGCGTGCCCTAGGATGGCTGGGAAACATCGCAGCCCAAGCAGCATGCCTAGGCGCACCATGCGTGCCATAGGATGGATGGGCACCATCGCAGCCCAAGCAGCATGCCTATGCGCACCATGTGTGCCCTAGGATGGCTGGGCACCATCGCAGCCCAAGCAGCATGCCTAGGCGCACCATGTGTGCCCTAGGATGGCTGGGCGCCATCGCAGCCCTAGCACCATGCTAGTGCGTGGATGCCTCGAAGCATCGCCCAACACGCATGCTAGGTCCTTGCGTGCGTAGGCGCACTGGCTGGGCTAGCAATGCGTGTGGCGCATGTGTGTGAGTGCGAGGCTGGTGCGTGGGGTGCGAGGCTGGTGCGTGGGGTGCGAGGCTGGTGCGTGCTATGCGAGGCTGGTGTGTGCTATGCAAAGCATGTGCGCTGCCAGCCAGTGCGTGGGCTGCTGGGGCCAGCACCAGCACAATGTGCTAGCAGCACTAGGCGCTAGAACACAGCACCAGCGCTAGCATCGCCTAGCAAGCACTGGCTGGCTGGGATGCTACTGGGCAGTGCTAGCTGGCAGCGCTAGCTGGCACGCCAGCTGGGTGCCAGCCCAACAGCCATAGCACGGTTGTAAGGAATAGTGTGGGGACCAACTCCACCCGTTGGGGAGCAAGGCACATGGTCTCCCACCTAACCTTGGGCACTACTCCTTTGCACATGATCATGCCACTTGTCGCAATATGATTTAATTGATTATTTATTTAATTTGGAAATTAAATAAATCATTGATTTTTCAACTCTCCCACATTGGTGGGAGATTGAAAACCAAGGACCCATTTCCCTATAAATACCCTTCAAGGGTGTTGGGAAAAGAGTAACCTTGAGTGAAATTAAAAAGGCAACTCTTGTAATTAGAGTAAACCTTTGATTCGTGAAACTCATAGTTTTGATTGTCCAGGTCTTAACTAACCTTCAAGACTTGGGACGCTCGGGTCGGGTCGAGGGTACGATCCGTCGGAGATCTCGTAGTTTCGTGATTTTGAAGTATGAGCTCTTTGGGAGCGAAGCACGCAACAAAGGTATAATTCTTGTTCTTAGTCTTGCTTAATTATGATTATTATGCTTGTTAATTGCTTTAATTAAAGGGCGGGTCTTGGGGGGTTTCCTTCCACGTAGTGTCAGGTTAGTACAAAACCCTACAGCACAGCTAGGACCCCACACGCACACCAGCCCGCATGCGCAGCTAGCCAGAGCATAGGTGCTGCTAGCGAGCCACACATGCTGGGCTTTACTGCTATGGGAGGCATTGTGATGCGAGGCACACGCACCACACGAACAGCCCAGCACGCTGCTGGCTGGTGCGATGTGCTTGCGATATGCAATGCACACGGCTGCTTCCATGCAATGCCTAGCATGCATGCTGCGCAATAATGCCTGGGGCTGATGCGTGCCACTGCCTAGCATCATGCATACACACCACGCCTAGCATGCTATTGTGCGATGGTGCGTGGCTGCGAGCAATGCTAGGCCATGCCTTTCCCCAGCGCTAAGAATGCTAGCAAGGCCTAGCCTTGCGATGCTTAAGCGCATGGCGTGCAAGCACACACGCAAGGCTGCGATGCTTGCGGTGGCTAGCTAGCATGCATGGGTCTTGCACGCCTAGCATGCTAGGGTTGCGACTAGCATTGCGATGGGTCTTGCCTAGCCTAG